AGATAAAATCAAGAATAAATTGGATCTCTAATATAATAGTTAGAAAAGATTTATTATTAATATTTCTAGATGATAATAAATAGATTTAAGATTTATTCATGATATTCAAATAAAAAAATCCGAATATTATATTTAGCGATTATTCGATTAATTATATGAATATTTAATATTAAATTTTTCATAAATCAGAAATATTTCGATAATATAATCATTTAGAAAATTGTTCAGAATAGAAATCTAAAGAATAATAATATTCTTCAATTTTCAAATTCTAAATATCAATAAATTTTTTTCTATTTATATGACGATCTTATATTATTTATATATTTTATAGATTCTCTTTGGCAAGTAAAAGTTAAATATTTTCTTACTTATTTATTTTTGCGCCATAATATTCGAAAACTTCGATTCTAAGCACCGATCATAATCCGACGATGATATCTCCAAGGTGATTAGTATATTCAATATAGATAAAATGAATAATTAGATGGACAGACAAATATGCAAACGGCTGCACAGATAGATAATTCACAAATAGACGCAGAGACATACGCACAGACAGATACATACAGAGACACATAGAGACATACACAGACACAGACACGAACACACACACACACACAGAGACATAGAGTGACACAAAGAGACACTTACATTCAGAAAGCACGCAACTGGTCTCGCGGTATAAAGATCCTGGAAATTTTAGTGCCTCGAACATATCTCAAACATCTTGGAAGTTTTATTAAGCGAGCCTGTCCGCCTGAAGCTACCAAAATTTCTGAAATCTTAATGCCGCGAGATTGCCTTAGAGCTACCAAAATTTCTGAAGTTGCCTGAAGTTTTAGTACCAGGAAAGAAGAGTTCGCGGTACTTAAAGTTCCGAAATTTTAGTACCGCGAGACAAGCACGCAAGAGGCGTTCAAGAGGAAATTCTGGTCCTAGTCCTTCAAGGAGACATGTCACATCCCACAGAGCTTGCATCATGTTTGATCCGCTGGCAGCAGAGTCACAAGTGGAACGCTTTCCTCCACGCCCACAGAGATGGAAGCATCAGCCTCCCCGCACTCACCATGAAAACGGAGAATGACAATCACACAACTGCTCATTCGCATTCGTCGTAGCAGCATTAACGTTCATGCAGTGCTGATGCAGAGCTCAATGCTTCAAGTCGAAGATGACCTCGTGCCGTCTGTCGCCGACTGCGGCGACGCAGGCCAAAATCAAAAGGAGTGCAAAATCATCTTTACATCTGCTGCCAAGAAGCAAGCTCCACCGGAAACTGTACTAGAGTGGCAAGCTGATGGCAGGAACGGTCTGTTGCTTCAAGCTATGCATTGCTGATGAGTACTGATCGAACAAGTGCTACCGTTGCTGAGCAAGGGCAGTTACTAGCAACAGAGAGCAGTGCTTGCAGCCAACGTCCGAATGCGTAGTATTTCAGTAGCAGGAACGCCGCTCTTGTGAAACAGTGCCACAAGAAGTCCTCACTTCACTTGCAGGCAATAAGGCGCGGCTGAGTGACAAACTCCCTCTTGCATCTCGGTCCCTGGAATTACCCAATTCGAAAAACTCGAATAACTTACCCGGCCAAAACCCTCTTTCATCCCCAATTAGAACGCTGATGGCCCGAAGCCTTTGCTTCAAAAGCCTTGAAGGCTGTGATTGTCCGCCTACTCCTTGCAAAGACCCATTGATTCAAACGGATCCTTGAAGAAGCCCCGCAGTTTGCGGCCGGCCCTCAGGATGCTAGCGATCCTGTCAAGAATCACGATCACCTTGCTGTTGTAATGCCCACTGAAGTCTACCACGGTGGTGATCGTGGCGAACCAGGCAATGATGCCTGCTGCATCGAGCAAAGCATGACGATTGCCAGCCGCGGACACCAAGGCATCACGGGCATCTTGAGCTTCTTGAGCATTCCTTACCCAACAGGACTCGTGACGAAACAACCTTTCCAGGGTTACAGCTAGTGAACCTCTAGTATGTATAGGGCATGCAACACTGACTAGGCGGGTTGGGAGATTCGCACTGTCAAAACACCTCAGTCTCGGTTTGAAATGGTCGACCTCGCGATAGAGTGTGGGAGAGAGGCGACAACAGAAGCTGGTGTGCAAGCTTGTTCGAAGGCGTTGTTGCACAGGAATGTCGCAAGAGGAAAGAACGTGTCGGCTGAGTGACATGTCAAGCAACATCCAGCAATCATGTCGACATTCATCTCCGTGCTCTTACGGACAGCTGCCAGACTGCGATGATCCTCGAACTTGGAACACCTTCATTAAGCCCAAAACTTTCAGTCGTGATCAAAGTAGACCCTACTCCCCTGTCATAGACCAACGCAACCCTGAGACAACCCTCACATGTCCACTCTGTCCTTAATGACCCCTTGTATGCCCTGAAAACTCGATGCAACATCCTTCTCACTTCAGTATGCTTGGGGGAGAGGCGTCCCAGCCCTGACGGCTCGGGAGAGCACAAGGCCACGGTAGATCTAAATTGTTTCCGGTATATGCTGCTGGGGGTATACCATGGGTCTACCTTTACCCATACGTCTCATCGCGTCCATCATCTCAGATAGAATAAGTGTCTGCCAGATATGCTGATTCAAGAGTCACATGAAAATTTCCTGATTCTGATTTCCTGTCAGGAAACCCTGCCGACCGGAAAAACTTTCTGCGCCAGTTGATATCTTGATGGGCTTGGTATTTCATCATCTCTGCCGGGTCTCCGAGCAGCCTCGGCACCGCCTAAAACAGAGTCTGAATCCAGCCCCTTTAAACTAAACGACGACGAACACCCGTAAATCCTCGCGCCCTCTGTTTACAGAAGCAAATGGGCTTTAGAGCCGCACTGGACCGAGATCCTGCTTCAAAACTAAAACCCCTCACAACCACAAACCCGATGGCACGCATATGCTAACATATTATGATTACTATCAGCCCTGAATGAACTTCCTGGGCAAACAAGCCGAAGATCTCTGGGTTCGCAGCGACAGCGGCAGCCAGCGCAGCAATTTCAGTATGGAGGGGCAACCGCTCCCCCCTGACAGCATCTTGCGCGAGGTTCAGTGCGCTTGCATGAGACTCCTGTCAGTAGCCGCAAGACTTGGTCCTGGTGTAGACGGCTGCGGCAATTTCAAGCTGGCCACGCGTCAAGTGCCGATCCTCGCCGGGTACTTTGAAGAACCTTGTCGCATCTTCTACTGGGAAGTACATGACATTGGCGAAGCGGAGGAAATCCATGCAAGTCAAAGGCGATGCGGAGGCTTTTGACGTGGGAGCTGAATCGTCTGCCGTGGCGAACATCCACGTTGTCTTGTCGAAGCCGGGATATGCTGCAACATCTTCCCGGAGTTGTGACGCATACAAAAACGGACCCCATGCGATGGCCATGTTCGTGTTCAACGAGCCGCTTGCGTAGTTGGAGACACTCTTGAAATGAGCTGGCTGGCAGACCCTGGGCTTTTCCGGGAGTTCAGGGCATGGCAACCCAGAGGCTCCGAAAAAGGCTCTCACGCCGGAGCAAAGTGCTGCGACGGTGGCAAGCTCTATGGCCATTGCGTTGTATTCATCTGGCCCATACTCATCACCGGCAGTTTTGTTCTTGGCACGATACTCCTCAATTCGTCCCAAGACACTGTCAAAGAAAGGCTTATCTAGCATCTGCTGATGGTTGACAATTGCATGTGCAATGTCTCTGAACGGACCGTCGGTGACATAGACGTGATCGATCTCGTCGTGATTGTACTGGGCAAACGGGACTCCTGGCGTGATGCCCTGCTGTTTCGCAGCCAGACAGCCTTTGCAGGTCCCCCAAGCTGCATAAGCCTCCGCGGCAAATTCCGCGCGCTCATCAGACGAGAAAAAGTCACCGGGGCCCACCACATGCTCAAGAATCAGATTGATCACGTCGAGCTGATTCTTCTGCCTGATGGCCTCTCTTTCTGTGGACGTGGGCATGGCTTCCTGACAGGAGCCTGATGGGAAGCAGCAGCTGGATGTTCTTGCTACTTACAAATTAAAACAAAGCTGGCTCTAAACTCTCCTAGTAAGTTCTAAGCAGCCGGTGAAGAAGTTGTGGATGACATCACCAGCTAGTTGCATCGCGGCGCGGCCTCTCGTTCCCGCTGCCATGACCCCTTCAACCTTCCTGCAGGAATCCTCCTGCAAAGCTGTACAATGCTGCGCGGGGGAGTTCGGAATCTGTGCTGCTGATTGCCTTGCTTGGACTCTTATGAAAGCTCAAAGAAGCCAGATGCACAGCCAGCGAGAAGGTCTTTCCCCGTCCACTGAGCGTCACCAACACAAAGCAAGGCCACATGACTTGAACGAGCCGGACACGTTTTCAATCTTCTTGGGCTTCAGCGAATTGAAGTGATTTCCTGCGGTTTGGCGCTCAGCAGCCAGCCTGAAGCTAAATAAAGGCCTACAGAGAGGCCAACGGGGATCTGGAAAATGCAGCCAGGATTTTTAATCAAAACCTGGTGTGCAGAACATGTCCCATTCAGGTCTGGCAGGGCGCCTCAAGATTCCAATATCGCAGCCACCTGGGACATGTGTCGCAAACACTCTGCACAACAGCTATGGACTATTGATGACTGCTCTCACTACGAGTGTCTCTTACTCTGCAGGCATCACTGCACGAGGCATGAGATGGCATGAGTGGAAATCGCTCTGCTTGCTGCGCTGCCTCGCTGTGGCCATTCTGGCATGCAACGTCCAGAGCCGTCCCACACGTCTCGACCACTTCGCTTCCTAAACCAGGATGCGTGCATCTGACATGTTTCTGTGCCGCTCAGCTACACAGCCCCGAACGTCAGAAGTTCTTATTGAGACATCCGTTCTTCCGACCGCGATTGCAAGTGGAGGCGCAAAAGGCTGAAGATCTGCATGTGTGTTTGATGCAAACCGTAACGTTTACGTGACTGCGAGCCTTGCTTGCTTGCGTCTGTCCATCCGCCATTCAGATTTCCAGCTGGGGCTGGTTTGCCGGGTTCCGGCTTGTCAACATTGTCATCCTGTGCTCCACTTTCGATTCCTCGAAGGTTGCACGGGCACAGTCGTTTGGCCACAAGCCCGGCTTTCAGCTGCACCCATATATATATATATATATATGTCGCTGGCGCTATCGACACTCCTGGCGTACAACATGATTTTACGTACACGGACGCGGAGAAAGGTCGGCATCTCTGTCTTATACGGCCTCGGTTCATTCTTGTCTCGCTTTCCTAAGCCAAGAACAGGACCCTTGCATGGTGCAGCGGCCTGTTGCAGGGACTAGGCACAGGCATGGAACCCTGCACTCCGTGCTGGTAGATTGGCGCTGGCTGATCTTGGTCGGCTTGCGGTAGCCCCAACACCCAACACTCACTCGTTACATGACAGCTACCTGCCAAATATGTCTTGGCTCAAAACTCAGACAATGGTAGTTATGCAACAGAGGAAGAGACAGACAAAGGCAGAAGTGCAGAGCCTGGGACCCGGAAGCGGGACCCGAATCCAAACCTCGGGCCGGAATGCAAGTCCCTCGGCACAAGAAAAACGATAGACCCCATGCGTGGGACCTTAGATGACCTTAGAGACTTGGATGAACACGACCGTGAAACGGAGTGATGGCTGTCACATCTTCCGGAACAGGGGGGCGGTGTTTTCGGGTGCCTGGAGACGAGAAAGGGGACACCGTGCAAGCTGGAAGCGTATTACATGGGTTGCCCAGACGCTCAATGATTGTTTTCCGTGCCATTCTCGACCCTCTGGTCGTCGGTCCGGAAGCCATAAGTTCACCTATCCCGCTGTTAATAATCATCCGGTCATCGCTGCTGCTGCTACCGCTGATGACGATGGCAACGCTACAGCAGTACCATGGGTGCGTCGACAATGTATTCTCGGCCATTCCGGCGGGCCGACAGGGTTTGCAGGCTTTGGACGGGACTTAGCAAGGCTTCCCATTGTGCCGTTTCGCCACAACTGCTCTCTGAATCCTGGACATCTGCTGAAGACTTGCTCTGGCATTTTGGCACTCGTCAAAAGCCTCGACAGCCCGAAGGCCACTGTTTCCGGCCCAGGAGAAGCTAACTCACTAGCTAACTCACTCAGGCGCCGCACATTATAACATTGTAGCGGTGCAGCACAGACACGCTAAGAAAGACCACGTGTTCAAAGTGGTTCAATTTGCTCACTAACCTCACGGTTTGAAACATGTGCTCGGTTGCAAGCTGCTGGTCTGCAACGGGAATCACAAGCACCGGCACTGTCCGCTGACAACGAAATGTGGGATCATGCAGCCCTGATCTTGGGGAATGACAAAACGGGTGAGAAGCCGACAGGCAGAAGTGTGACAGCAGTGAAAGCACTGTCCTTCGATTCTGGCATGACGGTCGGCACCATGTTCCAACAGCAGCCTACAAACCTCAGACAGGTCGCTTTCAGTCACCTCCAAGTTCTAACCAGAGGCATGTCAGCCCAAGCCTCTGAGTAGCCAAAGCGGGCTGCAGCAATCAATGCCGTGCGACCTGCTCACAAGGCAGCGCTATGGACGCACGGCCTGAGGATATGCTGCTCAGCGATCTGTTCTGAGAGCTCGGGTCTTTTCCGATGATCTACTAACCTTGCGACTGATTCAGTACTTGGAAAGTTGCATGCAGTACCGCGGCCTCCTGCGGAGGCGCTACGTGCAGATGCCACACACCGACATTAGATGGAACAAACTTGACACAAAGAGTAGAAGCAGCACAGATGGAACGGAGCAAAAACAACGTTGGAGATATCCTTGGTGTAGGCAGTCTCAAACTGAGGTGTGCCTCCTTCAGAGGCAACTTGTGGTTCAGAGAAGGTGAGAATTCGAAGGGCATTCTGCCGGTTCCATGGATTCGAAGGTCGCATGCTACTGCTGAGTGCAAGTGCATCAGCGCTGCATTCGAAAATCAGGCTCTCCCAGCCCACTTCAATTCAAAGAGCGGCATCAGCACAAGTTCTCCACCGCATCATCGCGATTGTCATAACGGCTCCTTGAGCAATGCCCCTCCGGAAGTGCGGGAAGAAGATCTTGAAGGCTTCGTATCGACGTTATCTTTGGGTGGTCCTTCAACTGTAGAATGTATCAGTGCAACCTGTGTGAAACCATGCAGGCTCAACAAGCAACGGGCACATGCTCCTACTGCCCACGAAGAACTGTCTGACAAGAAGCAGTCCAACCGACTCATGAATCAGACAGTTCATTTGCCCTTGTCCTTGCCCCATGAGGAAAACACATAGTTCACGAAGCACATCGTGGAGTTGCGAGAACTCCTCTGCTGTAAACTTTCGCAAGTCCACAATGTCCTTGACGGTTGTCTGGTTAGACCCCCGCAATGTCAGAATCCCTCGCATGAAATCGGGAAATGTCAGCGGCTCACCATCTTCAAACAACAGCTTTCCTCGGTTATCACGGCAATTGACCATGGCGGCACCATTTTCTCAAACTAAATCGCGCCGCCACCAAGCCAACACTTCACAGGCAACCAGCAGGCAACTGTCAGCTAGTATCCTGTAGCTTACGCAGCTGAGCTCAGGACCGTAATCCAGGGCGGCGTCAACGTCGACCCCCAAGCTCGTCAAGGCTGTCACGGCCTCCGGCTTAGAAAGCACGTTCACGAACTCTTGCTCCGAGATGCGGTTGTCACCATCTTCATCTGCGGCTCCTGGCAGCACAGACGGTTCTCAGGTCCGCCGCGACTAAAGGCTAAAGGGTTGTTGGCAGCCGGAGTTTACTTGTCATGATTCTAGTGAAAGTCTGTTCAAGTCCAGGTTGCGGGCATGCCTCAGAACAGGAAGTACACATCTTTCTCGAGCATAAATAGCTGATAAGGACGACCGAAATCGAGAAATCAACACTCCCGGTTTGGACAACCTACGCTCCTTTGCTGATCAGCTCCCAAAGGGCTTTCTTGGCAAAGTCAACGTCCATCTGCTCTCGCTCGATCTCAGACACCGTCTTGATAGCTTCCACCAGAACTCCAAGCAGCATGTTCATCACGGTCAAGCTCCCCAGGAAAATAAACATCACCACCATGAACGCCATTATTCCGCTGTCTGCTGCAACTTCTGAATAAAAATATGCTTGGTCAGGAAATATGCAATGCAAGATGAGATTTTCCACGGTCATTGGCATTGATGAAAAGAAAAGCTCTCTCAAGTCCGGCGTGTCACGGCTGAACTGCATGAAAGCGACTGCGAACACATACGTAATGAGCAGCAGTAGGATCAAAGTGAAGAAGACTGACCGGCAAGCAACCATCATACCCTTGATCAGGATCATAAGCTCTGGCATGAACCGCACCAATCTAGCCATCCGCGCCGTGCGGAGAACGCGCAGGATACGAGCCACACGCAGTACTGAAGTGCCTCCCGCGATGCCTCCTCCTCCACCGTCTGAGATGACGTAGACCAAAGCCATTATCCAAGTCTCGAAGATCATGAGGCTGACGAGCAGCAAATCAAAAACGAACCACGGGTCCTTGATGGCGTACCAGGTGCGAGTGTAGACCAGGTACCGAATAAGTAACTCCCCGGTGAAGTATGTGCAGAACAAGTTTTCTACGACGAAGAAGAGCGGCGGCGCTTCCACAATGATGTCTGCTTCTTGGTTAAACTCAAGGTCGATCGAGAGCCACACCGCGTTGAGGAAGATGACTGTCATAGTAGCACGCTCCAACCAAGAGCTTCTCGCGATTTTTGGAAGGCAGCCCTCAGTCTTGAGTTGGTCATTCTGCTTGTTGATTTCAAACTCCTCTGCGGCTCTTTTTCTGACTTGACTTCTCGCCAGATCTGCATTGAATTGAGCCAACCTCGCAAAGCAGCAGGGGAACACACTCGACAAGTGACAGGGCAGCTCTGCAGACTCTCATACAGCCAGGGCGCATACCAGCCTCTTGAAAAGCCTCCGCTTCCCGCTTCGCTTGGGCTTTCTCTGCTTTCGTCAGATGGGCCACAACGAGTGACTCCACGGATTCTGCATCGGCATCCTTGGAGGTTCGCCGGGAGTTTGTGCTCAGCTTCACAGGAAGTTCTGGAGGACTCTCACTCTGTGGCACGTTGGGCAAATCAGACATCTCCACCAGATCGGTGCTGTGAGTTCCGGCCCCCGGAAGAGAGCCAGTCTTTGGGATCCATGACATTCGCCTCTTCCGTTTCTGGTCCAAGGTTTGAAGATGTGCAAAGGGAGCAGGAGAAAGAGACTGCTTGGTCTCTTTGGAGAGAAATCTTGGGTTACCAAAATCGCCATCGGCATCAGGGCCGAGAGCACCGGGAAGCCTCACCCTCACTTCCTTGGACTTCCCTCTCTTCTCTAGCTTGGCATCCGGTGGAAGCATGCCTGGCAACTGCTTCACCTTCTCCATTTCCCGATCTAACATCTGCAGTGTCAGCCTTTGGTTCGTGAGCAAAGCCGCCCGGAAAGATGTCAGGCCCTCCACCACTTTGCTCACGTCTGATGAGTTTTTGGAATTTTTGGAGGAGCTCCGACTCACCAGCAGGTCTTGGGAAACGCTTGGTAAAGGCGCCACATGGGTGGAAGGTGAGCTTGGGTGGACCATGTCGTCAGATGAAGACTCCGACGATTGGGCCCCCAGGGCTGAGCCCGAGTCCGAGCCGGAGTTCTCCGGCTTTTGCCATGCCTCCCCGGCATTCGCTGTACCCTTCATGGACGCAGCACCCCGGAACCTTCCGACTTCCGAGGCTCTGCGAAGCGTTCGGCTACGCGGTCTTAGCCTAGAATTCTGGGACTCTCACAAGTCTTGCCTGCTCTTCTATTTCTGCACGTGCATGCAGCTGCTAAGTACCAGTAAGGAAAGGAAGGGAGCTTGTCTGCTTCGTGGTGTTGTGTCGACTTCCAGGCCGTCTGTAGCAGTGCAATGCCAGGTGATCTTTGCAAAGTGTTGCTGTACATATACAATCGACCGCTGCCTCAGACATGTTGTGTCGAGCCTTGCTCGAACCCGAACGCTGCAATAATTGCCACATTCATGATGGGACGAAGCAGCCCCATGGTTGACTCGGGCACTGGCTAACAGGCGCAACAGAAGCATAGCAACAGCTGTGCTGAGGGGGCTACCATCTGCAGCTGCAATATTGACAGCCTTGGACCTCAAGGTTACAGAACAACTTCTAGGGGCTGCACAATCTGCACCGTGCGATGCTTGATGAGTGGCACAAGTCAGACTCTTCTTCGAATTGTGCTATAGTTACAATGAACCACCATGCTGTGATCAGCTCCACTTTGGACCCGCATCTGGACTTGCGGCGGGCACTCCCGTTTGAAACCGGGAACAAAGTGCACAGAAACACTTCCAAAGGAAGCACAAAACAATCATCAAACCACACTAGGGCACCAGGGAATGTTGGCTGGTCAATAGCAGGCCAAGTGACCCCTCTTCCAAGAGGATGGCGACAACCTGGTGGCGGGGAACAAAATTTGGCTGTGGGGGCCACCCGACTGCTGCAACGATGCTCTCAGGTGCCCCCAAACATTCTGCATTGTCATGTGCTGATACATGCTGCTTTGTTCATCGCCCCAAACTGCCTCTGCAAATCCTTCTTGAGCTGCAAGCAGAAGCGCCGTTTCATTGGCCTTCCCAACGTCAACCGAGTCACGGGCGCAGTTTGAAGACATCCACTTGCTAAAGCCAATGTGACTTGATCGAATCATTGCTTCCCTGATGAATGGATTCCCCTATCCATGTGCCCACCTTGGCCCCAACACTACTTTGGCCTGACCTCGCACACAGTTACCCGACATGCTTCCTCCTGACTATGTTTTATTTGCGGTGCATGCAGGAAGCATGCAGTGACTGGAACCTGCATGGGTGGGGCATCTACCTGCCAAGTGCAAACCTTCCCTACTCCTCACGGCTTCCATCACCCACGCTTGAAAGGATGAGGCAGGTATCTGTCAGGTTGGTTCGGGTTACTGATTACTGGTAAGGTCGGCATCAGACGGTTGGAAAGCTGCTCTTGCATGCCCGTTGTCTTATCGATTCCTTGCATGCCCCCTTTTGCGTTTGGAGATGTTGAAGCTGTTCCGGCACCTTTCTGTGTTGTTTTTTGAGGGTTTCCGAGCCATTCGCAGATGTTTATGCAGTGCCTCTTGATACCTATAGGGACCTACATCATGAACAAGCACGGCAAAGATCCCTCGGACAGCTGCACCTGCTCTACCATGTGTGGCTGCCAATGGTTGCCACATGGTGCGCTCACAAGCAAAATTACAAGGTGTTGTGACGGCAGACGCTTGTCCTGGTACAGCAGCAAATCCCATGCACCCCGTGCCTTGTTGCACAAGTCGATGGAAGCTTTCTTGCTCAGCAGCAACCTGGCAAGCACGGGCTGGATTCTCGATGCGTTTGGAGTAGGCAAGCCATGATGGTGGGACCGGAGGGCTTCCGCAAAGCCGAATTGGGCTGCCATCATCAGCGGTGTGTTGCCTGAGCAGCAGGGAAGTGATACGACCAATGTCCTCAACAAAACTCCGCGCCATCACGGTCAGCCATGTCGATCGTGGGTGCCTTCACACTGCAAGGTTAGCACTGCCCTCAACGCAGGCGTGCTCATGGGAAAGCCCTGCCTCGGCACTCGTGAGGAGAAGCTTGGCCACCTGATCTTGAAGCTCGAAGGAGCATTTCATCGCTCTGTTGCAGAGAGCGGACAGCTGTCCCGTCTTTTGCCATGATTGGACTTCGACTGTGACGGTGAGCCGTTTGCCATATGTGGCCGGGGTCAATATCACAGATGGTATGCTACACCTGAGGAAGGGAAGGCCGAGTTTTCGCGGCACCAGCTCAGCTACAGCAGGTGCCGCATCAAACTTTTGAGCGTCTGGCAGGTAGGAAAGGTGTACGAAGGTGTCTGTGATTACAGTGTGGAGCCTCAACGTGGCCGCGCTTTGCCGCACAGAGTAGCGGTGTTTCGCCGGTACCACTGTGGCTGTCAGCAGGTTTGGCGCTGCCTCGAAGACCCAGCTTGTTGTGCGAAATTCGAGAGATGGGACCGCTCGGCGACTGGCTTTTCAGCAGCAGGCGCAGCACCTTGTAGCGAATCACCCGCGAATCGCCGAGAAACTGCACTCCAACTGCCAGGGCACTCCGACATGACCACCATGAGCAGCCATGAGCACAGGAGTCCTTCGCTTCGCCGCTTCGCTCGGTCCACAGCTTCAGAAAACCAAGACTTAAATTCTTATACATATAGGACTAAAGTCCAGCCCAATCGATCTGGAGTGTCCACAGACCTTGGGCGTACAATTGCAACAGAAATCACAGGTCGCAAGCCTAGAGTGTACACCGTTTGAGCGCTGGAACTGAGATCTTCCGTCGACGAGCAGAAGTTGGACTGTCTCGGTGTCACCTTGCAGGCATACATTCTGGAAATTATGCGTGGGCTGCTAGGCATTGCTGCGTGGGACATACTGGAACTCGGGGGTTGCCGTCGTGTGAAGCGGTCGGTGCAGGCGTTTGACCCTGTACGCAGTCCTATGGGCTCAGTTCTGCGGCCTGACCTTTGCCCGCTGCCAGGTTGAGAGGCGTCTCCCCGTCACTGTTCGAAATGTCCACCGCCTGAACGACATTCAGCATGCTAGACCAATCATACAGGATCGGTTTTCGTTGTCCTCTGCGGCTACACCGATTACACCATCTTCTATCATGCTCGCATCCCATAGTCTCTGTCGGATGAAGCAAGGGAAGCCGGCTTGGTTCCAAACACGCTATGCAAATCCTGCAAAAGCATCTTTGGGTGACTTGTATAAAACCACGAAAACAGATTCCTACCGTTCTTTATGCTTCCTGGGTGCCGCAGAGTGCCGAAGCAGCAACTTCACGATGTTAGCACCTTTGCGTCTTCTCTCACCGCTTGCATCGGCCATACGTGCAATTGCTGCGCCACGACCGTTCAACCCCCCCCCCCTGCATGCAGCAGCAGCTCCAAATAGCTCCAAGCTCTGCCAAAGCACGGCCTTTCTGCACTGCGCACAGAAGAGGCGTTTCACCATTAGAGTTCGCTTTCTGCGGGGCTTGCCTGAGTTGGCTCACCAGCAACAGCGAGAGCAGCAACATTACAACACCGTTCCCCACAACACACTCCTACCCGGACAGCAACAACCACCAATGCTGCGAACAATAACAAACACCATGACGATGGTGGCATGACAGACTCCCGCAGTCTTACTTACTTACAGCTTCAAACGCCTTAACCCGGTAAGCGCAAGGTTTGATGAGATGTGTGGGATGGACGGTGGGTGCGTCGAGCTTTCGTATGACGGCTCTTCATGCTCTAGGCGCTCGAAACAAGATCTTGTTTCATGAGCTTAAATACCGCCGCCTCGCGCGGACACCATAACCGAACCCAAACTGATGCAGTTGATGTTCCGGTAGGGCTAATTCAGTTCATCTGCAGAACTTCACTCAGACCTTACAAAACTGTTCTCCAAGTCCAATGAATGCCAAAGATGTGATAACCCCGCTAGGCGCAATTGCTGCGAGAGCCAACTTAAAGACGTCAGAACACCGTGACACGATTTCAATCAAACCACCACGCACGGAGCTGGGTGTGGCTGCACGGGCGAAGTCCAAAGGTGCAGGACTTTCTAAGTGCGAAATGTGGCAGGAAAGAGGCGGTAGTTACGTCAAGAGTTGGGTTGCACGAAGATGTCAGCCAGCGAAACCCTGGCGTCGCACGGCCTTTTCACTTCACGGCATGTTCAGCATGCCTTTCAGTGCAATGCACACGGAAGTTCTGTACGCATTGAGATTCGAGGACGAAGCTGTGCACAACAAGCGTACTCCAGCTGGCTTCCTGTGAGTCTGGTCTTTCAGGACTGCGCGCTGCTATTGCAGCAAGTGTTTTGCTCCCACTGGAACATCTGCAGCCATGCCGCCAGGCAATCGCGGCCAGCTGGCTTTCTGTCAGTATGGATTCATACTTGCGAAGATCGCCGTGGTGCTGCCATGGACCGGCCGCGTAGAACAGGAACAGGAACCGGTGAATAAACCTTCAAGCCCCAAACCCTAGCCGCGAAGCCCTAGGGCCTAAACCCTACTGTACTCCATGCAGCGGCTCGGCAGTGGCCGGCGCAGGCCTGGCGCCGAAGCGCTCTTAAGGAGCTTGGCCAACTATGCCAGCAGAGGGCTTGAGTGCAACCAAGCAGTACTGCCACCAGCTCGTCGGGGCTCGGGCTCGGGTCGTCTCACCAGTCCTGATCAGAGCTGGGGCTGCACAGCAAGTTTCTCGTTCCAGTGACGGCCGCCGATGTGTGACTTGTTGCGACTGAACACACTGCAAGAGAATGTGCATGTGCAGATGCAAAGTCTCACTGTGATTCTTAAAGCTACCATACGTCCTAAAGTACCACATCAGCTGCTTCTCGAGCGCGGTGCCGAAGCCTCTCTTCTAATTAAACAAACCCCTCAGCCCTAAACGGAAGTCACCTCGCGTTTCTGGAGGACAAGGCGAAGCGGACTGGGCGCATTTGGCGAGATGCTTCCTCAGCTTGCAGGCGCGAAGTGCGCAACATAATATGCCGCAGGTGCTGACTGAATTTTCAAATCGCACAAGAGCGCACCAACACGCACCCACATACAAAGACAAACACGAACAAAATCGAATGCAGGTTCATGATCTGTGCTATTTTGTGCATTGTGAAGCCAGAGTGTGTTAGCTAGTCCACCACTGCTACGTATATTCCTGTTGCAAAAAGGCGTAAAACTGCCAGATGCCATTCAGCCTCCCAGACGCAGAGTCTGCTGAAGAACGAAACCGTCCCAGGTCATCTCATAGGTCTCCTTCTCCAAAGTCTCCGGCAAATACCGCCTCAGCAAGGAGGGCTAGGCTCGGCAAGCACAGCCTTCGAGACTTCTCCCCAACTCGCTGCAGCACAAGCTGCTCTAGCAGGGTATTGATGGTGATGTCCGCCGGCAAGCGCAATGTCGCCGGCAGCGCCTTGAAACACGACTGACGTCCGGCCCAGCATCCGTGTTTCTACCACCTGTGCGCAGGACTTGCCGGCCTGTGGGCGCCGAGCTTTCGTTTTCTGTAGATGAAGAAGTGCCAGCCTTGCTGCGTCCTGCTCCGCCTCTTTCTTCCGACTGAATGCCTGAGCTGAAGCCGAGTCTTTTGACCGTCCCTTCTGTGAGGCAGTCTGGGCTACTGGTAGCTAGCTGGCCTTCTGGACCCTATACAGCCAAGCAGCATCTCCTGTGAAACTCCCAACGGCCCAGCCCTCCACGTTAAATTGCACTGTAGCAGTGAAGCCGCACCTTGGGCAGCACAGCACAGTGAACTCAGAGGCCAAATGCAAAGCAACCTGACATGTGGATGTGAAAGGTTTGGGTGCTCTTCTCAAGACAGCATGCTGGTTCAGCGAGTACGACGACGACCATTGAAATTCCTCCTCCTCCAGAGGCCGTCGCACTTCCTGGCAGATGCGCTTCACGGAATGGAAGGGTAGTGCGGGACATCCTCTGAGTCTGAGGTCTAATCACTCTGCTGGGTATGGATATGCGCAGAAGTGCTCACATGTCATCTTCCAGCCCCGCGGTTCCCACTCTTCACTTCCTTCGACAGGAACTCCAGGAGACGCCCCTTCGCGTTGCTCATGTTGCGTATGGCATCCGGAGCCTGCTACACTCAGGCGTGTCAGACCCACCCATTGAACTAAGTAAGTCCTTGCATGCTTTCGTGACTTACTGGCCGCGTGAGCCTTGTGGCTACTATGGGAAGCATGTGCCACAAGTACCGGGGCTGTTCAGTTTGTGCCCATTCTTCGCGCTAGCTGTGACAACAAACAGCAGACTAGCGGTCGGTATTGGTGGATGTTAGATGGCCTGGATCATTATTCTGAAGAGATTCAGGATCCCGGACTCGGACACTACGTAGGTAAGTCTGCGAGGCTGTCGCAAGGGATCTCGATTTCTAGACCACTAACCACAGTGCTACCCAAAGCCTCATGCAAAGTTCGCTGCACGCCTACCCCCCGCTGACGCTAGCTGTGCCTCTAGAGAGGACGGCGCGGCCGCTGCTTCTGTGAAAGAAGGCGCGCCCTGTTCACAAAGCTCCACGTCCATCCAATTTCTTCGCCGTCGTATCTGTTGAGGCTCACTGTCCTGGGCCACGGAGACATCTGAATCTTTCGTTGGACGGTTGTCGGGTTCCGGATTCTGGTGCTGCAGTCACTTTTTGGAGACTGTGTGCTGTTGAGATCTTCTCGCCCACAGATTCCGAAGCAAGACTTGACACAAGCCGATGTAAGCCATGAGTTGCATGCGATCACATGAATTGAAAGTCACGTGATGGGCAGCCAAGAGACCGAGTTGACCTTCGGAGCCGCGATTCGAATGTTCTCGGGGCCCTGTAGCTCCTTGGCTGGCATGGCAACGAGCAGGCGTAGGCATGAACGCGAAGTCAGTAGCGCGTCGCAGCACTTCGGCTACGTTCACAAATCGAGAACTGCCAACTTGTGCTGTGCATCCAAGTAGTTGAGCGCCTGTAATGCAGCGGAATGCTTTGCCACTTGCTTCTGCCGAAAGGAATCACCCGCAAACTCCATCGGAGGATCCAGTGCCTCAGCATCAGAAGGCTCCCCACTCACCAGAATGTTCGGGACCATCTTTTTGCCAAACCTGCGTATATCTTGCCAAGCCTCGTCTAAACAAACGATTGCCACAAAGTTTCCCACGTTGGAGGGCCGAGGCTTGTAGCCTGGTGCGTCTTCAATATATTGACATGCACACCTTTTTCGAATTTTTTCCGAGGCGCGGTACCGCGGCTCGTTTTTCGCAAGGCTCCGCCCCAGCAGCTTTGCATAGCTACGCTCCAGGTCGCCGATACAATCACCGGCGGCTTCCATGTCCTCACGCATGCAGTTCCAGGGAAGACATGACTACACGCAGGAAGCACAGGATGCAACCCTAAGCACAACAGCTAGTGGACGACGGATCGGAGCGCGGCATGCGCAGTCCTTCTCTTCCACCAATCTGTCTTTCTTCTCTTCACTGTCTGGCTCGCCAACGTCATCGTCAATCCCAAGGCCTTCATGCTTTGCAGAGTTGGCGGCCCTGTTCAGCTCTTCCTGAGCTTCCACTGGTCGAAGCTGTGCGATATATGGCGGAGTTGTTTCGTCATATAGGCAACTTGGACGTGCTGCCGGCTCCACTTAGCGTAAGTGCTCTTAGCATGTCGAACACGTGCAAGAAAATGCAATTCATGAAAGGGCCGGTGTCCAGTCTCAGGAGCTCCTCATTGTCGAGAAGACGATTCTTCTGGGCCTGCATAGGGTGGTCATGTAGACGTGGTCACAACACTATTGCCATCTATCGCCACAACTCAATCAATTGCCGGCGCACATAAAGCATCGCCACGGACAAGTGCTCGAAATTAGTCCTTGCGCATGCTAGCGTGGGGCATCTGAGTTCGAGAAACCCTATGCGCCGCGGCGTGTCCGTCCTGAGCTTGCGGTTCAAATTGAACAGCTCCGCGATCTGCAGTTTTACAAGATCCAGCCGTCTGTGGAGGTCATCCGGAATCTCCGCATCATGAGGAGACTCTGAGTCTCCCATGGCTCGCAAGCTCTCGGACGAGCTTGTGCCGCTCGAGTCTCAGGTTGGAGTCTGATGTCCGAGGAATCAGACCCACTCTCCGTTTACATTTACATCATCAAGCGTCTGGAAAAACACTGACCGCAGACGACGACACTACTTGTGACGCATATCTGATGCGCCAAGTTCGTTCAGGCCTGGCGAAAGAAACATTTAATCGTATATGACTGCAGACGCCTTAGATGAGGATCAGACAGTGTAAGTACTCGAGCCAGGAGCAGGTGACGGTTGCCGGGGCCCCATAAATGCAACTTTAATGCAACTTTGATGCAACTTGGCAGTCGTCAGGAGGTATTCCACGACGTCCGTTCTCCCTTCCTGGCACAGGCTGTGAAGCTTGAGGTATGAAGCTGCAATCGCCCTGGATCTGCAGCCTTCGCTGCCAACAACAAGGGCGTGTTGCCTGCCATGGGTCATGCGATGATTGGCTCTGAAAGGTGGCAGCTCTTTCCGCCGAACTATGGCCAAGTGAAGGGTTCTTGAATGTTCTTTGCAGCTACCGCACATCCACTGAGACACTGCGTAATTCGGCGCATTGGGTCTTCAACGCTCGTGGCAATCTTATCAAGTGCACCCTCGGCACCCTGAACTGAACAATACAGAAACCCATCTGCCCTGCAAACGCCTGCGCCGTCAGAAGCATCCATGCAAGTCGCCTGCAATGTAACCCGTTACTCCGTGCTTAGGCAAACTGCACGGTTTCGGTTGCTTGCGCGTGGCTTCTGCCTTGCCCTCCTCAAGTAAGCATTTGACAACCTCCATGTAGCCTTCATCCGCTGCCCTGATGTGAAAACAGGAGAGGACCCCGTCGCGCCAGTCACTGCAATTGCATATGACGTTGCTGAATGCTTCTGCCATTTCTGAGCTGGCTGCAAGTGCAGCGGCGTGGACCTTGTACCGGGCATATTTTCGATGGCACTAAAGACAAGAACACTGCACAAGCGAGGCCAATAGTAACACTGGTGCCCGGCCCTTCTTCATCCGGAAGATCCGGACTGTCTCGTAGCAGCAGCTTCCTGTGACAGCAGGGCCGAGTTGGCAAGAGCTTTGCGGAAGCTCCGGCTCTTCAGATCTACATGCGGCCTCACAAGGTCGACATTGCCCTCCCAAGCCGCATCGTGAAGTGTGGCATCACTGCCAGCCTTGCCGGTCATCAATGCCGAGAAGCAAGGCACCATAGATAGAAAAGACAAGTGCGCTCTACCCACCTGCGGGGCTTCGCCCTTCTTCCGTGCCTTACTCTCGAGGAAGCGTGAACAGCATGCAGAGACTAGAATCTGCTTCAATTCGAAGCTCGGCATGAAAAGATGTGAGTCCAAGCACGATCGAGAAAGCTGTAAGTGCCCCACGGACTTGGGCGTCGTCGGCCTGGATGTGGAAGAGGAAGACTTGGCGGCCTCGGCATTCACATCTGGCCAGTGCTGGCCAGAAATCTCACACGCACGGAACCCTGCCGTTCTGCCATGGATGGTACGAGTCATGCGGACGACAATCCGTGGCACTTGTGAGGTTCTTGGAACGCCTGGCCTGCTTCGAAGCACTTTCTAAAGCGCAGCAGGCACCCATGGCTTCAGCATGCTGTACTGCCAATCTGGGAGGTCTAGGGTCTGGGGCTTGACGGTTTACCAACCAGTCCAACCACCAAGCAACAGCTTGTGAAATGTAAAGCATGACAAGTCGACCGAACCTCCACTCACGCATTGCAGCAAAGCTCGACTCATACTTATGCGACCAGCAGGCGGCCAATTATGTTGAAGCTGAAGGCCAAGCAATCAAAGGTTCGCATGCTTACTAGACCTGCCCTTCGTCGCTTCAGTGCCACATGTTCTCGCATAAGCTCCAAGCATCTGCAGAGACCCTTTTCCACGCGAATAGTGAAACATGCTGGCTCTGACTTAGTCTTGGAGGCACGCAAACCGTGCTTTCTCCAATCTTGACCCACAGAGGAGCGATACTCGCAAGCTCTGGTCAAGTTCAGTCAGCTCGGAAACTGAGTGTGTAGTCCTGACAACGTCATATAAGAGCAGCCTCTAGCAACGCAAGTGCCGAGTGGATAGCAGCCAGAAGCTTTGAAGGACAACATGGATCATGACACACCACTCGCTGTGGCCTTTCGTCGACTCGTACATGCCAGGCCCCACCTTTGCAAGGAACCGTGTATTGCAGTTAAATAATGGCAAGCCCATGATGCCCACGAAGGACGCGACGCAACACGCGTGAACACAACAACATACAAAGGCCTCCCCGATGCCATCGAGAACGCTGCCAACCGACAAACACACATACGTAAACGTAGACACACTGGCTGGGAGAGAGAGATAGACGCAAATAACAGAATGTGGGGTATCTCTTCCGAGGGGTAGCTTGTAGCGCGTGCCTGCTAAAGTCCCAAAGCCTTCGGAGATGCAACACAGCCAAGACGCCTCAGGTGGGCTGCTAAGCTCGACTTGAAGAGGATACCTGTCAAAGGCATTTAGGCACCACCTCCATTACTTGACTGAGCAGTTGGTGGCATCTGCTTACCTACTAAGTGTCCTCGCACATATCTGCTTTCTCCGACTGTCTGCCCCTGAGGGGCACCGTGCAAGCTCTTTGCCAAATCTCCACCTGAAGTCGGATTCGACATCTAGAGTACAAGCCGTCGGAAGCATGTTGAAAGAGGTCTGTCTGGGACAGCTGCGCTGGCTTGTTTTGGTGGTGGCTGATGACGGCCAGGTCCTGGCATGACGCGACGACCCCGCAACCCTGAGCTCTCAAGAGAAAAGCATGAGCTTACAATTTCGGTCCTTTGAGAGCCTGTCCCATGCATGATCTGGCCCAGTGTAGCCAGGACCATTCAGCGAAGGACCCACGATCTGACAAGCAGGGATGCAAGAGAGTTCTGCGGATTTCCCGAGCTGCGGCCGAGCCAAATCCTGCCTTCGCAGCTGGCTTCTTCAGACCGAAGATATACGAGGGCGACTGGCAACAGCAGAAAAAGCCGCGACCATGTTTGCTGAACCTAAAACATATACCTCAGAAGTGACCAAGAAGTCTTGTCGTTGTCTTCCCTGGCTACAAAGTTTCAGTGTGACGGAGCGAGCGGACACTTGCTGTGGTTCGAGGGAAGCACAAGCAAGAAGCGCTAGAAAGTTGAAGAGTCTCAAGTGGAAGATGTGTTGCTGCATCCCAGACCCATTGGGCGAATCACGTGTCAAGCGACAAAGCAGTCCGAGCGAACCTGCTTCAACAGGCGCGACTGCTCCTCGTGGCCTGCCACTGCTGAGCTGAAATCTTCTCAAGGGCAGTGCTTGTCGGTCCACTGCAGGGTCTCGGTTTTTCTATACCTGCTGCAGCTTCACAGGAAAAAGAAAGGTCTCGAATTTCGGCCATCGTCTGGCAGCTCCTCCAGGCATGCGCCGGGGTATATATGGCCCGAAAGATGTACCGGATGCCATGGAGACACTTGGGCACAACCTGCCCAGGGAGTCCCGTCGTTGAGTGCCAATGGAGTTCAAGTAGCAGCAAATTCCTGATTGCCATATGACGGATGTAGGCCGTCTGGTCTCTAAGACTGGCTCGAGTTGATGCCATGCACCTTGGCCGGCTTGGCCAGCCTTGCTGTGTCTAGTCGATCTAGCCAAATCCCAAATCGAGAGCACTGGGATCTCCAGGATACGCAATCACCGCCTGTGCAACATCGCCTGTTCTGGCGATGGCTTATGGCAGCTTCTTCGCCGCTCCGGTCGATCTGGGACGTTCCTCCAGTTTCTTCTGCTTCTTCCGAGGGGCCGTTCTTGAGACATCGGAGGCTTTCTCTGAGCTCTGCGGCCAGCTAACTCCCAGCGGTCTGTAGCGTCTGGACAGGCTGAAGCGCTCTCACGAAGCTGGCAGATCCTGGAGACTGGAGCAGGTCACGCAAGACTGCCCAACGGCAAAGAGCCTCGTACGTCTGCCGCGGGTCCGGCGGCTCGAGCATCGGGTGGATGATCTGCCTGGTATCAGAGGATGAAGGGAGAGGCAGACGACTACTGACAGTGGGACTGGACTTGTCTGCCCTTCTGCCTTGCGTCTGGTTCGATCTGTGGTACCGATGGGGCTGGTGCCGACAGTGCAGGGTGTGGGCGCAATCGAGGCCGAAGGTTTGATCCATCCACGAGGTAGAATAGATCACGGACGTCCGCCAGGAGAGCGGTGACCACCTCTGCCACAGTGGTCATGAACGTTGCACGGTATGCCGGCGCTTCCTTGCTTTGCATTCTACAGCGGCCTCTCGGGAGCTTTCAAGCAGCTTCTGTGCATCTGCACCTGTAAAGACTCATCATCTCGAGCAGGCTGGAACGCTCTGTGGGTAAGATGCTACGAAACCGCACAGACAGTGGGATTTTTTGTAGAGACAGACACCTATACATACCTGCGTACATGAACCAGACATGCACACAGCCTGGTATGCGCGCAGGCATACATTGGCATTCATGCGTACATCTCATTTGACTCATGTCATGACAAGAGACCCTAATGTACAAGACGCAGGCACATACAGTACGCATGCTGCCATACAGTATATGATATGCAGGTAAGAGCTAAAGGCATAAACGTGAAACGCTACCGGCTACACTGCAGGCCGGGAACTTCGGACTTTGTTCAAGTTGCTACATGATGAGACCAAATGAAATCACAGCCCCCACCCACTCCGGTCACCTGCTTCGTCCAGCGCTGCTGCTTCCTGTGAGCCATGTGCCCCCGTTGGCAGGGAACCGCGAGCTTCCTGGAGGCTCTCCAGGCTTCCGCCTGCAGGCACAGGAACAGTAAAGTGCTATGTTCGTTCATGCTTCTGTTCTGCAGTAGCCTCAGTATCCTCGCCAAAGGATAATAGAGGCAATTTGCAAGACAACAGTTTGATTGTTGTGGCTCCATCGAGGCTTGGCAGCTCGCAATGAACTACCTTCGCAGCACTCGCCCCTCCTTGAAGCCAGGCGAGACTACCGCAGCTTTGAAGATGATCACCGAAATCACGGAGTTTAAAGGGGCCTCGATGCCTTACCTCTCCTCGCACCCCGCCTCCATTGTGAAGTCAAGCCCTTTGCTTGGGACTTAAGATGTTCGGTCAAAAAGCAGCCCGGGCTCTCGGCCACCTGGCTGAACCACTGACTGAGCCTCAGCGCGGAGTCAGCCTGACCCATGTGGAACCTGTACGGCAGCCTGCCTCCCCAAGTTGGTCCCTGCCCGCGCCCTGCCCCGGCCCTGCCCCGCCCTGCGCTTTCACGCGAGAAAGAGCTTTCACTGCGAACGGTGAAAAAAAAGGCTCCCCTTTCTCTGCTCCAGCCTGCCGCTTTCAAGCGAAGCGCCAGCTCGCTGAACGCCTCTGCCATCTTTTTCTGGTCGTCGCAAAGCTCCTTCGCAAAGAGTCAGGAGGTGCAAAGCAGGAAAGAATGGAAACCAAGAATGAGTCCTCGATCTCGAAGTCCAGTCGCTTCACGACTGCGGGACCCGGAGCAGGAAGCGAATTCGCCTGCAAACAACATGAATGTAGTGGTAGTTTGTAGTCGTCGTCGTGGTGGTCGTGGTCGTGGGGTGGTGACGGTGGTGGTGGTGGTGGTGGTGGTACAGTCGACAAGAGCTTGAGCCCCGAAGCCTGGCGTAGAAAGTGAACCGCTTCTTCCGATGTTTCATGCAACGTGTACCAGAACTCGACCCGATCCTTGATCGCAGGTGCAGCCATGCAGACTTCGATCAGTTGCCAGTGATGCTCTGTCTGACGAGATCTGACGAGGTGCGCTTCTTAACTTGCCCAGCTCTGCGTTGACCTGGCCAACTCGAGCGACCAGCTGCTTCACGGCAGCGATGCGCGATTCTGCCCTCGGGTCCTCACAGGAAGGGGCAGGACCAGCCAACCCCTTTTGGTTGTGGGCTTTGCTGGGGTGGAACACCGAATCGGAATCACAAAGCTCTCGCAGGATCGTTTCTGATTTCCGTATGGTCCTCCTGCCCTTGAAGCAGCGAGTGTCGTGCAGCTTGCTCTAGCAGCAGAAGCATGGCCTGGCAAGCGCCAGCTCCACATCAAGAGAGTTGTCATCAGCTGCGGCTTCCTAGCCTCGTGCAACTCAAGGATGCCCTCAATGCCATGGTCGACGGTTCGCTGCATATCCTGGCAAAAGAAACTGCAGATGTCTCGTCTCTTGAGGTTGGACCGTTCGCCTGCGCCCAAATCCAGCTTCGACTGCGCTCGACCATCAGGCTTTCCAGGGTCACCTCCACTAGCTTCGGATCCAAAGGCACCACCTTAGTAGGGCCACGACTCGTGACGGCAATCAAAAGCCCACGGCAGACAAGGGCAGGCTGCCTCCCGGATGCGCGGCTCCAGCTGAGGCTCAGGATCCCTTGGCTTCGCTGCTGCGGGCCTGAGCTTGCACAATATGGAGGCAGCTGAAAGCGAACAAATCAGGATGGACCTCCTCTCAAGCAGATCCGTCCGGGGAGCTTCGGTTTTGGTGTAGCTGTGGCGGCACGAAGCTCGAGGGGCAAAGGCTCCTGTGGAAGAGCTGTGTCGACAGAGCCGGTGTCGGAGAGCTCTGCACCCAAGATAC